CATCTTTGAGGCCCTGCTGTGGAACCAGATGGTTCTCTGGAGGCAAGGAAGCAGAAAGAATGCACTCCTTATGCTTTGCCTGTTGGCCAGGGCTTGACCTTGGTTACTACTCTTCATCACTTCATTAATAGAAATTCAATCACCCACATTTTTGGTACCTGTGTGGGGTTGTGGAACCAAACCACATGGATTCCAAGCCCCCCCCCCCCCATATATGAATTGGCCATACTGGCTGAAGGATTATGGGAGCTGTATTCCAAACAAGTAGCTTTCCCCATGTTCCTGTCCTTCCTCAGAACTGATTTTGTTGCTTTCTCAGGAAAGAAACTGCAACTACAAATCCACAGGAAAACTTCTTAGCAGGAGTGAATGCAATATGCTGATGGGTCCTGTCTGCCTAGATTTTTTTGCAGGCAGCATGCTTCCCAGAAAGACAGCAGACTGGTTGGCCAGCTACCTTAATTTTGTACAGAAGAGCACAGAACTGAAAACTGAATCTAGAGAATACTTCCTGCTGAGAATTCTTAATTAGAGCCACCGAGAATGATTTCAGTCTGTTCTAAAGAAGTAATTGATATCTCAGTTATCCCCAGATTATATAACATTCCTGGGTTAACATTCTAACTGCAGTTCCTATAAATTGTATCATGCTAGTACTGTACAATAAATACTTTTAGTAAAGACCCCTATAAGAATATCTTTTATACATTTATTTACCTTGCCTTTTAAAAAAGATTTGTATCCCGTCTACTTTAGGATTCTGATAACTATGTTATATCATCGTTAACAGTGGCACTATGTGATCAAGCTATGGTGAAACTTCTCAAAATTACAGAGTTACCACTTAGAAGAGACAGAAAGATTCAGCTGGTTTCAGGGGGAAGGGGAAAGAGACTTACTGGTACTTACTGCCAATTCTTTTCTTGATTTTTCTTTTAACAATTTACAGCCACTGTCTTTAGTAATGAAAATTCTTTTTCCCCTCTTTCTCATCCAGATATTTTGGACTTGAGCTCCCATCAACCCCAATCCAACATGATCATAAATGATGATAGGAGCTGTGTTCAAAAACACTTGGAAGCTCCAGATTTGGCAAAGCTAGTATAAACTAGGGATGGAGGAGGGAGAGCATGATTCCTCAGATGTCAAACAACTGTTGTTATCATTAGTTCTCACCATTAATTAGCCTGTGATTGGAAATGGGAGTCCAACAGCATTTAGGAGGGCACTGATTATCTGCCCCTATTTTCAACCATGGCTGGAGTAGAGCTTCTGAATGCTTCCATCCTGGAACAATACTTCTTATTTCGCGCCAAAAGCATTGCATAAATAAATAAGTATAAAACTGATAAAATAAAGGGAGTACAAGCAGTTAAATAATTTTAGACCAAAAATGGGCAACAGCAATCACATTGTCTGTAGCTTTAGACAGTTCTTCCTCTGTGCATGAGGCAGGGCATTGTGGGCAAGAATATAGATACTGAGTTGTTCGTTCTGCTCCACAGTCGCAGAAGGTGGAGGATTCTTCTAGGTAGTGCCATTTTGCCAGGTTGTCTTTTGATCTCCCTACACCACTTCTGAGTCTCTTCAGGAACTTCCAAGTTGCCCATTCTTGATTTGCCCCTGGAGGAAGACCCCTGTGGGGGACCATCCAGTTGGAATGCTTGATTTTGCTGTCCATAGGGTTATTTTTGCTATTGCTGGAGGAACATTTAGAGGACTGGTGGTTCTCATGAAACTTTTCCTTGCTTTATGTCTACTGGGAGGAGGTTGATAACCATACTGTGAGTGGCTTTCACAGTTTTCAACCTTATTTATCTCACAGTGGGCAGCAACTTCCCTTCACACATCAGGGGAGGCAATGCCAGCTAGCTTATAAAGTCTATCAACAGGTGTAGGTTTAAGACATCCTGTGATTATTCTACATTTTTCATTTAGTGCTATATTCACGTGATTCATATGGACAGATTTATGCCAGACAGGGCAAGCATACTCAGCAGTTCAGTAAGCCAAGGCCAGGGTTGATGTTCTTATTAATTGTGGGGTCTGCACCCCATGCGCTATTAGTAAGTTTCCGCAGAATGTTATTGCATGCAGCTACTTTGTGCTTAGTGTTTGCACAGTGTTTTCTAAATGTTAGTGTTTGATCTAAGGTGGCACTGAGATATTTAGGATGGGAACAATGTTCGAGCTATTGGCCTTCCCAAGTAACCTTCGATTTCCTGTTGGCTTCACGATTATGTAGGTGGACTATATGGAGCAATGCTAAAACCACACTATCATATCACCATTTCAGGAGGAATGTATTCTGATGGAGAAATATGGCACCTAGAATTTAGCTCTAATCTTTGCTATTCATGCCTTTAGAAATGGAGTTTGGGATAAATAACTGCTACACTAAAATTGTAAAGAAGTAGATGTCTGATACAGCTTCTTTCCCAATGTAGATATTTACATTGAGGAATTTCCCTAATATAAAACATATGCAATAACAATTTTGCTTAGACTCAATGGACCAAGTATAATTATTACTAAAACATTTTACCTCCTCGTACAAAAAAACAAACAAACTGGAATGGGATCCTAGTTGAAGAATGTTTTCTAGTTTTAATTACATTGCACCAAGCAGCCCAACTTTTGTTCGGTATGATTTAATTATGGAATGGGCTCCTTGGATCAGACCATATTGAAATGTAAGCATTGGACTCAGGATAAGAATGAATGCCAGTATACAGTCACTAATTTAAATGACAAAGTAATTATTTACTCGGGGGTTTGCTTCTCTACAAGTGAGACATAAATTCACTATTATAAAATTGACTACTGGGGAGAACACTTTTAATGTCTCTAAAAATAGCTCAGATACTATAGCTTATCGTTTAAATGTTAAATCATTATATACATGTCTGTGGAGCTTTAATATTGGAATAATTAATAAGTGATCACTTTCCTTTGAGTTCCAGACATGGCAAAAAAGCAGACTATAAATAAAATAATTGATAGATTGATTTTTAATATTGGTGTTAAATCTAGATGTCATCACAAGCCACTGTCATGAAACATAGGTTTAATAATAAACGTCAGTAAAAGAATAAAATGGAATATTGCTACATCTAAGGCCTTTTAAATATAATTGACCGATTAAATCATTTTATGAAAGAAATAATTATTAGTATGCCTAAAGATAATTTTTAGGCAGCAACATAAATGCCTTGGTGCCAGAATGGCTTAAATGCTGGACCAAGGCTGAAATAATTGTTTAGCCACAGAATCATGCTAGATGAACTTATCAAATCACACACTCTCCATTTTATAATAATAATAATAATAATAATAATAATAATAATAATAATAATAATAATAATAAATTTATAACCCACCATATATCCCCGAGTGGGAATAAGGAAGTGGGAAATCTCCTGGAATAAATCTGGCCAAGAAAACCCATCCTGTAAATCAGAGTTGATTTAAAGTTACATAACAACAAATGTAGACCTGCTTCTATTGACCCAAAGAAATTAATTGAGAAGACCTTTTGCAAATAACAAGAAACAGATGTTAAATACAGGACAGATAATGGATGGGAACTCCCAGATCAGAAATAGTATCTGAGAAGCAACAAGCACAGAAGGAAGCATGCTTTGATGAATGCTTCACTAAATAAAAACAGACATTTTGAAAATTAATGTCAGGAGCATTTGTTTACCCAGTGGATGATGTAACACAATGTAATATTCTAGTGTAAGCACTGTAATGGTAGTGATTGTAATGAGCATATGCTTCTAGGTCAAGGGTGAGAATCTTGTGGCCCTCCAGATATTGTGGGATTGTACCTCCCAGTATTCCTCGCCTTAACTATTCTGGTGAAGAGCATTGGAAGTTGACTTGAGAATGGTGTTTGATTTCACATTATGCTCACACCTATGAGATAAACTATGGCATTTATAAATGGAATTAATTTTACTTATTAAATTACTTTACCAGCACAAGTACAATTTCCATCAAGAGGCCATATCTCCAAAACAGTTCAAAAGGGAGGTGCCTTCTTCAGTTGCCTCTCTATACTAGTGGTTCCTAACCTGCGGTCCCCAAGAACTAAAATATGGTCCACGGCCTCACTGTTACTACACCGTAGCAATGAGAACAACTGGTCTTGTGAAACCCTCTTATAGTGCAGAGGCAATGGGGATGTCAGGAGGGTGACTACCCATGAAAGGTGCAACAACAAGCCTCCTGACTGCTGCTTCTCCTCCTCACCCCCCAGAGAGGAGCGGTTCCATGTGGCGCCTGGAAGCAGAGGCGCCTTGGTGTCTTCATTTTTGAGGCTGTTCCTGGGGTTATTTGAGGTGCTGATTCAAAAAATTCCATTGGATAGACCACACCAGTTCTAGATTATGAAATATGGTTTTCTATGAGCCAGCAGATGGCGACTGCTGGATGGCATATTTTCTGTATCAGAAACTAGAGCTGATGTGGTATATCCAATGTAATTTTCTGAATCAGCACCCCAAATAACCAAACCGAATCTAAAGTTGACCAAAACCCATTTTGGTACTAATGTTGCAGAGTGGTTTCTGGTCAAAGTGGTCCCTGGTCAAGTGGTCCCTGGTCAAAAAAAGGTTGGGAACCACTGCTCTAGACTAAAGCCTAAGTTTAGGCATTTTGGCTTTTAGTGAGGTTCAGTAAAGACTAATTCCCCTCCAAAACTTAGATGCATCTACTTGCATCTCTAACTGAGATGACAACATTTTTTTTATTATAGATTTAAGCATAAATCCGGTGGCTATTCCCATTTAGAGTGGACCAGTTGAGTCAGTAGGTTACTTTACTATATAATTGTATTTTAACATTATCATTTAATTGATTCAGTTGATCTGCCCCAGTAGTTACAGCCAATTGGATTTAGATCTTGATGATAGTATGAGATTACCATGCAATCTCCATTAGAATCTCCAGTCACATAATACTTGTCTGAATTATCTCTGCTTTCTGTATTTCAGAGGAAAATGTAATATTCCAAGAAATCAAAGAATATTGGACCCAAAGAAAGGACCCATTAAAAAGACGGCAGGAGTGAAGCAACTTCCAAAACTGAAGCTCTGATATCTTAATTCATTGTTTTCTATTCTCTTAATTATTCCTTTTCCAAGTAGGAATTATAGTAAAGTAGAAAATATTTTAAATCATAATATATTAAAATAAGCATCTTCACACTAATTATGCTTAAGATTAAATTCTGTGTAAATGCTCATATACCTCTGTGTCTGTACCATCTGATTTGCAATATATTTATCAGAGTACTATGTGCATTTATTGGCGAAATCTGCAGTTTGTGATGGGATCTCTGCCAGGTTACTCCTTTCCTTTCTGAACTGGTTCAAGACATGGGTGAATTAGTATGTTTGAAATGAATTATCCATAATATGTGGGTGACATCCTGTATTGGGCAGAAGAAAATTGCACACCACATCTTAGATCCAAGATGTCATGCAAGACATCAAAACATTTCAACACATATGTAGGCTTGCTGATCTCTTTTTAAAGAACATGAATCACACTAATCACATGTGCCGAGTTACTATGTAACTCTTTTTTTCTTATTAAAAGAAAACAATAATTTAAACAACTAAGGAACTATTTAAGGATCTATTTTGTTACGTTTTGGAATATTTACAAGCATTCAGCCCTGGACCCCTCAGTCCAGCAATGGGATAAATATGTGATAGAATATATAATAATCTATATAATTGTATTTTAACATTATCATTTAATTTGGTTTTGAATTGTCTTTTTTTTTAATCATGGTGTGATCTGCCTTGTGTTCCAGTTCTAGAAGAAAGGTTGGTTCAAAATAGAATCATAGAATCATAGAGTTGGGAAAGAACTTGTGGGCCATCCAGTCCAACCCCCCTGCCAAGAAGCAGGAAAATTGCATTCAAAGCACCCCCGACAGATGGCTATCCAGCCTCTGTTTAAAAGCCTCCAAAGAGGGAGCCTCCTCCACACTCTAGAGCAGAGAGTTCCATTGTTGAACAGCTCTTCTTACAGTTGGGAAGTTCCTCCTAATTTTCAGGTGGAATCTCCTTTCCTGTAGTTTGAAACCATTGTTCCGCATTCTAGTCTCCAGGGCAGCAGAAAACAAGCCTGGTCCTTCCTCCTTATGACTTCCTCTCACATATTTATAATGCCCATCATGCCTCCTCTCAGCCTTCTGTTCTGCAGACTAAACATGCCCAGCTCTTTAAGCCACTCTTCATAGGGCTTGTTCTCCAGACCCTTGATTGTTTTAGTCACCCTCCTCTGGACACATTCCAACTTGTCAACATCTCCCTTCAATTGCAGTGCCCAGAATTAGACACAGTGTTCCAGATGTTGTCTGACCAAGGCAGAATACAGGGGTAGCATTACTTCCCTGGATCTAGACACTAGACTCCTATTGATGCAGGCCAAAATCCCATTGGGTTTTTTAGCCGCTGCATGACATTTTTGGCGCATGACATTGAGTCCACGAGGACTCCAAGATCTTTTTCACACATACTGCTGTCGAGCCTGGCATCCCCATTCTGTATCTTTGCATTTCATTACTTGTGCATAAGTGGAGTATATTGCATTTGTCACTGTTGAACTTCATTTTGTTAGTTTTGGCCCATCTCTCTAATCCAGGGGTCCTCAAACTTTTTAACCCGGGGGCCAGTTCACTGTCTCTCAGACAGTTGGAGGGCCGGACTATAGTTTTTTTAAAAAAAAATCAATAAAAAATGTGTGAGCCTTCCAAAGGAGGAGCAGCATCGCGTGCGTGGCCTACTCTTGCGTAAAGCACCTCGCGAGGTGCTTTACACAAGAGTAGACCGCGCAGAGCAGCTGTCTTTGGCTGGCTCACGCTGCTCATCGGGCTGATGGGCAGCGTGAGCCTTCCAAGGGAGGAGCACTAAAGAAGGGGCACTGTGGGGGGGGGGGCGCTCCTCCTCTGCGGGCCGGATAAGTGCCCTTGGCGGGCCAGAAGTGGCCCGTGGGCCTTAGTTTGGGGACCCCTGCTCTAATCTGTTAAGATCATTTTGAATTCTGCTCCTGTCTTCTGAAGTATGAAAATCCCTCCCAATTTGGTGTTGTCTGCAAACTTGATGATCATGCCTTCTAACCCTTCATCTAAGTCATCTAAAAAGTCATCTTAACTGAGATAGAGTCCCTTTGAACAGAATTTCTGCATAGCCATAAATGCATGTGTGCTGTAACTTATTAAATCCTGCAATGGAATTTAACTTATGCAGTGAACTAAGATTGTCGAGATCAGATTTTCCAGTCTCAGCAGTGTGGCAAAATCAATAAACCACAGATTACTCTTAAAGGTCTCATTCTTATTTGCACAATTAAAACTCATGTGCCAGCTGCAACCTTAGCTCGTGAAGCCTGACCTGACCATCGTGGTCCATGCCTTAGCTATTAGGGCTGGGCAGTTTCCTTCGTTAATTTCGTTATTCGTTATTGATTCGTATTTAAATTAGCTTACGATCCGATATTGAGCCATGCAGGAGCAACTAAAAATCGAAACGATTTTTTCAATTTATTTCGTAATTGTTTCGTAATCGTTTCGAAATCGTTTCGAAATCGTTTCGTTATTATTTCCGTATGTCTGGTGCAAGTTTTATAGTTGTTGTTTGTTTTATCAGTGATAAAAAAATAAATTATCACACCAACAGTCAACAACAGAGGGAGAGGGAAGCTTCAGAAGTTCCCCCTGTCCCATTTGGAGGTTTTTTTAGCGTATTGCGCAATCGCGTCCACCATTAACGAATCAATTCGAAATTTACGAAATTTCGTAAATAACGAATTTTTTTAAAGAAAAATTCTGAATTCTTTTTAAAAACGAAACACAATGGACCCCCTAAAAACAAAACGAGTTTAGAAACAAATTTTTCCGTTGTTACCCAGCCCTATTGGACATATAACTAGATTGGACTATTGCAATGCACTCTGTGTGGGGCTTCCCTTGAAGATGGCACGGAAACTTCAATTGGTCCAACGCTTGGCAGCCAGACTTCTAACTGGGGCGAATTACAGGGAAAGCTCAATCCCCCCTGTTTAAGGAGCTCCACTGCCTGCCCTTCATCTTCCTGTCCAAATTCAAGGTGCAGGTCATGACCTATAAAGCCCTGAACTGTTTGGGACCCACCTACCTTTGTCACCGTATCCCCTTCCACAAACCTGCCCGATCCCTTTTGTCCTCTGGAGAGGCCCTTCTTCCGCCCCTTCCTCTTTCACAGGCTCAACTTGAGAGAATGAGGGAGAGGGCCTTCTCTGCTGTGGCCCCCCACTTCTGGAACTCGCTACCTAGGGAGATCAGGCAAGCTCCTACCCTAGCTGCTTTCAAGAAATATCTAAAAACTTGGCTCTTCTGATGTGCTTTCAGAGAGTGACCACTCAACCCATTTGGTTGTGTCCACCTACAGTTGCCCTCAGAATAAAGCACCGTCCCCTATAAAGGCCAAATCCCATTGCTCCTCTCTTTTGGGCTCCCCTCTTATAAATGCAGTTTTATTCCTATCTCGCCCAGGGTTTTAACCTTTTAACATTTTACCTCATACATCTGGCCCGCCCTCTGTGTTCGATTTTATTATGCTATTTTATATTGTTTATTTTATTTGTTATTTTATATATTTTGTTATGATTTATTTGGCTGTTTATCTTGTGTTTAATCATGTTGTATTATTTTGGGCTTGGCCTCATGTTAGCCGCCCGAAGTCTCCTTTGGGGAGATGGTGGCAGGTTATAAATAAAGATTATTATTATTATTATTATTATTATTATTATTATTAATGTTGTAGTGACCCCCAAGCATAAAATTATTTTTGTTGCTACTTCATAACTGTAATTTTGCTACTGTTATGAATTGTAATATAAATATCTGATATGCAGGATGTATTTTCATTTATTGATCCAAATTTGGCACAAATACCTAATATATCCAAATTTGAATACTGGTAGGGTTGGAGGGGGGACACGATTTTGTCATTTGGGTTGTAGTTGCTGGGATTTATAGTTCACCTACAATCAAAGAGCATTCTGAACTCCATCAACACTGGAATTGAACCAAACTTGGCACACAGAACACCCATGACCAACAGGAAATACTGGAAGGGTTTGGTGGGCATTGACCTTGAGTTTTGGAGTTCTAGTTCACCTCATCCAGAGAATACCATGGGCTCAAACAATGATGAGTCAGGACCAAACTTGGCACGAATACTCAATATGCCCTAATGTTAACACTGGTGGAGTTTGGTGAAAGCAAACCTTGACATTTGGGAGTTTTAGTTGCTGGGATTTATTGTTCACCTACAATCAAAGAGCATTCTGAACCCCACCAATGACAGAATTGGGCCAAACTCCCCACAGAGAACCCCCATGATCAACAGAAAATACTGTATTTTCTGATGGTCTTTGGTGACCCCTCTGACACCCCCTTTTGACTTCCCCGGGGGTCCCAACCCCCAGGTTGAGAAACATTGCTCTAGGCCAAACTTATCACAGGGTTTCTTAGCGAAAAAGAATTCAAAGAGGATTTGCATTCTCTTCAGAGGCTGAGAAAGTGTGGTTTTCTCAAAGTTTCTCAGTGGGTTTCCATGGCTGAGCAGAGATTTGAACTAAATTTAAAAGACTACACAAAACACTTCATAAACATTAGGAAGAACTTCCTGATGGCAGAAATACACTGTGCCTTTTGTGTAACAATATGTCAACTGAATATCTGATTCCTGGAATCGCCAGCTGTCAGACAGCTTCCGAGCAGCCTGATGACAAATACCTTTCATGTTTTGTTGAGCTTTTAATACATATGACTACATTCACAGAAAAGTATAGCCTTGAGAAGGCCTATGTCATTGGAAATGGTAGTCTGAAATCTCTGAGCAAAACAAACCCAGTATGCAAAAATAAAATATTTACCTCTCCAACGCTGACCTTGCTCCCAGGTATCCCAGATATCAAGGAATATAATACAAAATTTGACTAAATAATATCAATTCTTTAGGGAAAATCCATCAATAGAACCATAATCCAAGTTTATGCTCCCAGTACAGAAGAAAAAGAGGAAGAAATTGAAAGGTTCTACATAGAAGTCCAGGAGGAAATTGATCATGCAACAAAACAGGATATATTGGTAATTATATGCAATTGGAGCACCAAAGTACAAAACAGCAGAACCAAGAAATGGTGATGTAATTTGGCCTAGCATCAAGAAATAAAGCAGGTGAATTTCTGATTTAATTTTGTGACGTCAACAATTTAACCATTGCAAACACACTTTTGAAGCAACACAAAACATTATTGTATACATGGATTTTATCTAACGAGAAGACTCTAATGATACATGTTTTTATTGATTTTATTGATTCTGTTATGATTTTATTATTCCATTGTTTTATTATATTGAAATTGTATTTTATGGTCTTGGTACCAACTGTAAACTGTCCCGAGTCCCCTGCGGGCTGACAGGGATGGTATATAAATGCAGTAATAAATAAATAAATAAATAAGTAAAATCAGATAGACTATGTAATTCGAAGCAGAAAATAGAAAAGTGCCATT